TGATTATGCTATGTGAATTTCCATAACTAATTCACAACAAAAATAAATTGATCAGAACCTGTCCTTAACTTGACGCTCACTAATGATCTTAATGATAACATCTAATGTGTATTTGAACATGCAACAATTACCAATCATAGTAACATAGGAGTTAATAGTAATAGTAGTCAATCATATAAGTTAATGGTAATGGCCAACCACAGGACAGATAATCATGGCCAATAGTGAGCCTTAATATCACTAATCCAAAGCAACGAACAAGTCGAGTGCAAGAGATCCTAGCATCGGCAAATGCGCCTGCCTGTCATCTGACTGACAACTGGGGTATGGCTTCTGCTTCGCGTTCTAGAGTTTCTCGCTACGTAGCGGACTCCTTTTAAGCGTTCTCAGCCTCTCAGGCTTTAATGTAGGATTCTGGGGCTTTTATATAGCGTTCCGATTTTTTTGTTCAGTTGTATTGCTCCATTGCTGCGTACTTCAGGGCTCCTTCGAGACGTTCGATCTAGGGGTGTTCTAGAATCCTTTTCAGCTATGCGTCGTTCCTCAGTCGTGTTTGGAGTTTTTTTCTTAGTTTTGGAGCTCCCTTGGCTTATAAATTGTTTAAAAATAATTTTGTTATTACATTGCAATTACAACAAAACCATTAAGAACATTTAGCTGAAACAAGTACAATAACTTAGGAGTGCCTAATTATTATGATCACCAATATTAAATCAGCGAGTGGGGGTTCAAATCCCGCAACTGGTTGGGAAATTCAGATCGAAATCAGCAAGTTGGTGGGTTGGTTATGAATTCGAATCAGGCCCAAATGATTTAATCAGAGCATACGCTACCAAATTATATTACTATTACCACGACACACCAAGCAATTGATCTTGCTTATTGCTCACGTTATAATCCAGAGCTATAAGCAGAAAAATTGCCGTTTTCCGTTTATAAGCGAACTAGGACCCATTACATTCATTTTCGCTTTTTTCTTGTGCTTTTTCGACATCCATATCATTTCGTCCATATCAATTTAAATCTAACATTGCTATCAAAAGTTATCTGCACTCTAAAAGAAGTCTAATAACTTATTAACTACTAAGTAATGAATATTTGACAAATATTTAAATAAGTTATCAATCACTATTCTCCTTCATGACTTTTATTCTAAATGAAAACCAGAATCCCAAGATTATTACTGTTACGTGAAAACGTGTAGAATGTAGACAAAATAACAAAATGAAACAACTTCTGGCCTGAAGCGCAAAGTTAAAGGAAGGTATTTGTATGCAATAAAGGTACTTAAGCAGGGTGGAATTTTTAAAATGCAGGAACGAATGATGGGAACCCAAACCACACTACGGGTCAAAAACGCGTATTTGATGACTTTCAAGTAACAGAGGACTGTAGCCCAGAGAGAGAGAGAGAGAGAGAGAGAGAGAGAGTCGTTCATTAAAATCGATAAAAATCATAATTCTACAAGGAATCGTCATATATCCTCAGAGGTAAGTCCAGCAATTCAGCTAATCCATTTTTCTTCAAAGTATAAAGCGGTGAGCGTGCTCTTGAGGAAGTCCTGCAGCTGCATGCGTAGGTGGCGGCCGCGGCTACTTGAGGGTTCGGGCATTTGACGAGGGCATGGGGCACGCGTAGGCGGCTAACGGCGAGGGGAACCTGGGCACTAGCTGAGGGTACGGGGCAGGGCACGCGGAGGCACAAGTACGTTCGTAGGCGGATGAGGGTAAGAAGCGGGAGGTGTGAGGGAGCGAGCAGTGCTCCCTGCCCTCGGCTGAGGATCAATACAAGCTCCTCTCTCTCTCCGCTGGGCCTTGACCTTCCTGCCTTCCCTTGCATGTTGAGGGCACGAAACGAGGGAAGTAACCGAGGACAAAGAATTGCATAATACAATAAACTGGAGGTAATATGATGATAGCGAGGACAATGAACTCTTCAACCATGACAGCAAGCGGGCAAAAAATTATTTAATGGCGTCAGGATGAGCAGTCCTTGGCGAACATAAACAATAATTTTTACAATGAATTTACTCCATATTTATCATTTTTATTAATGGCGATGTATAATAATATTGAAGATATGATTAATGAAATGATGGTTAATTTGCAACATTAAATGGTTGAACTGGTCACCAAGTATCTCGGTTTAGAAAACCTCAGTTTGACGATAGAATTGTTCCAATTAATATCATCTGACCCATTGTATAGATCGAGAATGCGCTTGAGATTAAAATTGGTGCCAAAATGTTGAATAAGAAACATAGAAATCGTGGATGAAGGAAGAATAATCACAGTTAATTATGTTCATTATTCTTTAGCATTACAAAATCTTTCACAATTATTTTTTTGAATCGCAATTCCCAGTCATTGTTCTCAATAATTCTTCCCAATCAATGTACTCGATCATCTTTCTTAGTTATCGTTCTCAATTGTTGTTCCCAATGATTGTTCTCGATCATTGTTTTCAATCATTATTCTCAATAGTAATTCGCAATCGTTTTTCTCGATTATCGTCATGATTAAACGATGAGCCCTTATATATTTAGCACCCTCATCAGTTCTAAATAGCGGCTGCCGCGGGTCATTTCAGGAAAGAAATGCTCCAACCTCGCACGAAAGTTTCAGCTTTGTTTACGTGTGGGCGATGTTGCTCACACTTGTCGGATATCTCAACGCTGAATCCTTTCCGTAATGGCTTATTAAAACTCGGCGTCAAAATTAGCTAGGTTGAACTAATGACGTTCAGATCAGAACCGTTATGTGTAAAACAAGATGATTTTTTACGTTTTTGTTTCATCCGTTGCAACTTGCAACACAGATCATGTGTATCAATGTTATGTAGCGTACGATTGATCGATTTCCGCACCTTTAAAATAATAAATGCTTATTTGCATCACGAAATAAAGTTGGAAAATAAAATTTATTATAGATTGTCGAAATATAAAGCGGGTTTTCCTTGTCAATAAGATTTTAATATCTAAATATTGAATAATTGGATATTTTACTATTCATATGCTTAAATTTACGAATAAATTCTTTAGATAAGCTTAAAGCAGGAGGTGGAAGAAGATTTAATGAGAAATTGTTGTCAATAGCGCTGAAAATTTACTTATATTTTACAATTCGGCACTACATGACATACAACATAATGTCTCACAAAAACATACAACTGCGTTGTATATTTTACAACATACAACATGCATTCATAAAAACAACCAACGAACGACACAAACTCGAACACTCAGCATGTGTGTTCAGAAAATGAAAATGACATTAATTCTAGCCTTAATCTGTTAAATATATGCTCACATGTAGAGCAGTGAATAACTAATTAGCAGATAGTACAACAAGTGCTCTCCATGCATACTAATTTATAAAAAGTTCTTGTTGACCTTAAAAGTTTAAAGAATTACAGATCATGCGAGTACAGTAGTCGAGTCTTGAAGCGCAATTTCAACTCCTGTAGAGTAGGAGACAATCGCGGTGTCTCTCACAAACAGCAAGATGGCGGTCAGAAAAAAGGTTTAGTTAGCCTGCTCTCGTCAACATACAGAGCGTGATTATTCCCTCTAGTGCAGGGGTGAAAGATGATTTTTCCAAAATTAATTTATCTATGTCGAATTTTAAAACAATTGCTTTACTTTATAAAGCTGCGCATAATTTTCTGTTGACAGATACTTCAGGTAGGCTGGTGTTCATTTTACAAGCGCCATAAAGTTAGGGTGGCGGCAATGTGGTACGATATGATTATTCGCGGTGTCCACCGATTTCTAGCAAATAATTAATTACTACATCGCAAATGCACCCAAGAATTTAATGAATTTAATTACCAAACCAGAACTGATACCATACTCAAGTCCTCTGTCTATTGTGATAGCAATACATTCAATCACACTCTACTACTTCTGAATTAATATTCACTGGAATTTCAGTAGAATTAGCCACAACACATCGCACGGATGAGAACGTCTGGTATCACGGATTTATTTAAATTCCTATAAAATATATCAGCATCTACTGTCATACCAATGAGTTCAATAGCCGCCTAAGACGTTTGTACTTTGTTCAATCTGCCGCGGCCGATTTTGGCCTCGACGAAGGCGAACACATGCAGCTCTGCAAGAGTGCGTTCTCTAACGGCCGTCTCGCCCAGGAGTCACGGTGAAGAAAAAAGGGTGTCAGAAACGAACAACCAGGACCAGCAAAACCAGTTATTGTGAATAAAAAACTGAAATTTACAGTAGGAAATTGAATTTCTTTCGAAGTTCTCAATGTTTTCTAAGAAAATAAGTTAACCATATAACCATTTAAAGCTTCCAAACAATACCAAACTTTTGCTAAATCATAATGCTAAAAAACACAGCTTTCTCAAAATACCTTCCCAAGATCTTTAAAAAATAATAGCGTTTCTAATTTACGCTCTTAACCTATAATCTTGGTTTTGATTCACAATTATGTTCAGCAACACAAAAGAACGATTTCCTGACGTTCTTTCTTGCGCCGACGCTGATGCGTGCGTGAGGGCCTTCAGGTGGCGGATGAAGGAGGGTCACAGGAAGAGGGAGAAGTTGGCCAAAAACAAGTTCGTCTTTTTGTCTGCCGAAAAAGTCCCAAAAAGTCTGCCGCCTCCTCGGGACTTCTACGTGGAGATGAGGCGCTGGGGGTCCTGAGATATGTATGGTATGCGAAAAGAAGACGATTAGTTATCTTGATGCATCCAGTGCCTAACCTCATGTCTGAACAGTTGTACAAGTAGTTCTGAACCAAGTCCGACGGCTGCTGCATCAGTGTGGACTGAAGGTCGTCGTAATCCGATGCGCGAGCGGGAGAGAGCAGTTACCACCATTGGCATGGTTAGAAGTCATGTGGCAAAAAGGTGAATTTCCTGATATAGGCCAGTGTTGCAATGACCATAGAGGCTACGAGGTTCGCGAGCGGGAGCAGTGGACCGTACGCCGGTTTGGCAGACTAAGTTCCAAAATAAGACAATAAGACAGGATAATATGACGGGTATTTTATTAACAAATCAGCATCTTAGCAAACGGCGAGTTGAACCACAACATAAGATCCAAAGCTCCAGCTTCGGTCTGAGCCGACGCTGTAGGTAGCGACAGAGAGAGCTACAGCTACAAGTCAATCCTTGTTGCTACTTGACTTACACCCGAGGGGAATAAGTGTGCCTTCACTCACCCCGCTGCCCCAAGATGCTCCTAACTGTATCGTTACTCAAATAAACTCTAAATTTAGCAAGAAATTCATTGCGAGTTATACTTCCATTATGCTTCGTTTGTTATATAGTTTGGTTTGCGCTGCCGTGGACACAAAAAAAAAAAAAAAATTATTTGCCTTAGTCGTACAAGAGCAGAAAAATGTCGGATACAAGACATTTTCCTAATTTTATAGCTCCCGTTCATTATTAGCTGAATAATATGGGGTAAGTGTGGTAATTGAAAATTCTCGCGTAATAAATAATATTAGATAATAATTAGCTCATAACGACGAAACTATACATCTTAAACACAACATGGCGATATTGTTACAAAACAAGATGAATTGAACTTTAGTATAAGAGACAGAAAGATTATAAGCGCGTCAAATAAGTGAGAAAGCCTAGCAGCGCCAGCATACCGAAGGTTCTTACAAGGCACGTTTTACGCTTAGCCTCAAGCAATAATAATGCCTCGATTCGTAAACTATAACTACATATACCTTTTCATAACGACCTATCGTCGTTACGTTCTCCAGATTTTAATTGACCGCACTTGAAAGAGAATATGAAGAACGAAGAATTTTATGCGTGACAATGTTTTCAGCAACAGTTTTTTTTATCAATTTATTTACGAGAAAATATATTAAGCTCACAAGTTTCAATTCTAAACCAAATGGAAAAAAGTTCGATCGAAATTTTCTTCCTTCTTATAAAGAGCGCAGCTACAATACGTGCTCGGGAACCTTGTACTGGCGCACACGCGCCTACAGGAAACCTATTAAATTACTTCAAAAATTTTAAATCAAAGGCAGTCATAGGAGCAGACGTGGATAGTTCCACTGAGTTTGAGCACAAGAAATGATAAGCCTACTAGCTACTGCACTAGAGCATTGAATAAAACGGTCTACGCAGTATAGCCTATAAATATATAAAAAATCACCGCCTTACCTCATAAGAATACTTCATAAGTACAGTGAAACTAGCTATTGTTTACTCACTTGCATTCAATACGACAACAATTCTTTGAAGTCAACTCTGGCAAGTCAGTGAGGGTCGTTGCAATAAGGGTAGAGCCTTGTTGATATCATGGAACCCAAGCACGTGAAAATCCAAAAGCAGTTTTCAAAGAATGGTGCTTCAGCCAAAAATAATATTCTCAACGAAAATAAATATCCTTATTAACCCGGAGTTGCGGAACATGTATATTCTGTGAAATAGCTTAGCAAAGAGCAAACATAATTATCATAAATCAACAGAAGTGAATGAGAAATTTAGAAACACTGTAATAGCATATCAACTAAGAATTGGATCCAGCCACAGCATTGTGTTTTGATTTATATGAAGGTTGAATTGCTTTTTGCTATACCTAATTAACCGATAAAAGTGGAAGCGGAAACCGCAGCAGTCTGCTCACAGGCACGCACGCTACAGCAATGCAGCGCGTATCTGACGCACAACACATTAGGGACAACTGAACAGTGAACGCCTTAAACGAACCGGCGACACATGAAGATCCAAGTCTTACCATGCCGACGACAAATAAAAAAAGTCTTACCAACCTGAGGGCGAAAAAATATCTTGCTAAGCTCACGGCAAAAAAAATCTTACCAAGGTGAGGGCGAACATAATGTCTTACTAAGCTGACGGAAAAAAAAATCTTACCAAGGCGACGACAGGAAAAAAAATTACCAAGCTGAGGCCGAAGAAAAAATCTTACTAAGATGACCGAAAAAAAAAATCTTATCAAACGGAGGGCAAAAAAATCTTACCAAGCTGATAGCAAGCCAAGTCCAAATCTTACCAAACCATCAACGAAATAACCGTAAATGTTATCAAAGCAATACTTTCCAAATATCCTTTAAGTTACATAAAATCAAATGCAAATCTGACCAAATTATAGATATCAATTGAACTTCTTTTCTTATTCTGTTTTATTTAATGAGTAAATATTTAAATTCCGTTAAAAAATGATTAAAATCGAGCCATCTTTGAAACGACAATTGTCGATACTGCAACAAGTTACTGAACATTCGGACTAAAATGAAAACTAGACAAACGGTATCAGTATTAAAGCCTATAGGTAAACGGCACAAATTTAAGAAGGCCCAATAAATTTAACTAAATTTCTATAACTTAATTCAAATGCACCTCACCTTTTCTGAAAAACGGCTAAATTAAAATACGGATGTGCTGAAGATAAATCTAAATAATGTGTACAGAGATTAACAACTTCATCGGGATGATGAACAAAACTTTACGAACGCCGCAGAGAACATGAAATACAACAGGAAAAAGTGAACAAATAAGTAAAAAACTGATAAATTCCATTAGACGACAACAACAGAACTCGAAATCTAATTCAAAATAGACACGACAGGCACAGCTTAAAATCGATCGCTAAGTCAAAGAAGGACTGTTATACAGGCAAAACTTATAACAGTTCGGCTTACATGTAACTGTTGCTCTTGTATATAAGCCGAAAAAAACGGAATATACATCGTCCGTAACAGCTGTTGCACTGCACAATTGCAATGACACAGCGCAAGCGCTAAGGTACTGCACAACTGCTGCGGCACAGGACAACTGCTGTGGCACTGCACAACTGCTGAGGCACTGCACTGCACAACTGCTGAGGCACTGCACAACTGCTGAACTGTTGTAGTACTGCATAACTGCTCTGCCAATGAAGCAGCAGCAGGTGTTGAGGTCTGGCAGCTCAGGAGGAGCCGTGCGCCGGGTGGTGTTGGGGTCTGGCAGCTCAGGAGGAGCCGTGCGCCGGGTGGTGTTGGAGTCTGGCAGCTCAGGAGGAGCCGTGCGCCGGGTGGTGTTGGGGTCTGGCAGCTCAGGAGGAGCCGTGCGCCGGGTGGTGATCCGTCATGGTCAGGAAGTGGTGGTGCGCGTCGCGCTCGCACTCCCCGCTGCTCTTCAGCATGAATTTGTGGAACGTCCCGTCCGCACACACGGCTGACCAACCAATAATTTCATGAGTACTAACTTGTGTACGGCCAATACATTGTCGGAATTTATAGAACAATAGCTTAGTATGGTGATCGATAAAACATCAAGAATCCTACAACCTATAAACTCTACACAACAAAACCGCATTAGGGCAAAAAGAACAAAGAATTACTAAGATATCTTGATTGATATACGTGGATGATTAGACTCATTAATATTAACAATGAGTACCTACTAATATTGATTATTAAATAATGATATAGAAGTACTATGACGAACCGATGACAGCGTTGGTGTGGGGGCTGAAGGCGCACAGGCACTGAGCTCCCCCTGGCACCTCAAACTTGCTGAAACTCCAGTTGCTGCTGAAGTATTTCGGCAAAAATGAAGTGCCAGCCAAACTGAAAACAAGATTAAATTAACACGATTCCATGTAATTTAATACACATAATTCACTATTATACTTTAATACGTAGAATCCTACAAATTTAATAAACATTATTTTACCAGACTTAATTAAATAGATATATATACAAGAATTTACACCGGATAAAACATATTTGTGCTCATATATTTATTCATAAGCGATTCAACAAATATGACACAATTTAATATGCTAATAAAATGTCTCGCAACAAATCGGCTGCACACATTGAGGTGCAACTGTAATGACACTAGAAGGAATGTGGTACTTGAAAGTGAGTTGTTGAAAAGTTATAATGACGAGGGGGTGAAAGAGATTAATAAGATCATAAAAACCACAATGGTGATAGAGATAAATAAGTGTTTAATGATAACTTGGGTGAAAGAGATTCATATGCTCACAATAACGACGATGGTGAAAGAGAATAGTTTTTTATAATGACGATGGTGTTGAATAATATTAATATGCTTACAATGACAACACTTGTGCAGTGACTGTAATAATTTAAGGGACATGTGTTTAGTCGCTAGTGGGTTAGATAAAAAAAAACACCTAACTGCCGCCATAAATTTAGATATCAACTAAACTAGGTTCAAATACGAGAAGCATGTGTGTTTTACATCTGAACCGTGGCTGTAATAATTTCAAGCAAATAAGATTATTCGTTTCTGAATTAGATAATTAATTAATTACTGACGTAAATGAACTTAGACCTCTACCTAGCTTGAGAAATTTCATTATTTTCCTTCTGTGCAGTGGCAATAATAATTTCATGTTTGTTGGTTTTTTTGCTTTTGAATAAGATAATTAATAGAATGTTGCCGCAAAAGACTTAGATCTAAACTAAATTTGAGAAATATGTTAATTCTACGCCTGTGCAGTGGCTGAAATAATTTTGGGAAATTGGTTAGTTGTTTCTGAATTTGGTTATTAAATGCTAACTGTCGCAACGAAATTTGAATCTTCTACTGTCTCGAGAATTGTCATTTTTTGTAGTCAAAGAAATAAATATGGTTACAATGATGACGATGTTGAAAGAGATTAATGAGTTAATAAAAACGACGATGTAAAAGAAGTTATTAAGTTCATAATGACGTTGGTGAAAAAGATGCATAAGTTTATAAAGAAGACATTGGTCAAAGACATTAATAAGTTTATAATGAGGATGGTGTGAGAGAAAAAGAAATGAAAAATGTATACAGAGTAAGATGCAATGGAAGAAAAGGTGAGAAGGATGTTGCTGGCTGACCTGCTCTGTTTGTTCTTGTGCGTGTCGTCAATACCAAAGACATGCACGGTGCCGTGGTCGCTCGACACGCACACCAGGCTGCTGTCCTGGCTGAAGTTCAGGCTACAATTGCAATACAAATCAATTAACTCTATTCTATCTCAATAATTTATATAATTCCTTTTGCATTTATTTCATTCTACTTCTAATGACCATGTAAGTTTACTCAAACAATTGTAAATTTACTCTAACTTCACCAATCAACACTTGGCAAACATTCTTTAATCCACAACATTTTGAATAGATAATTGAACTCAATTTCTGGTTTGAGCATTAATAGAAGAAGCGAAACAATGCTTTAGTGGAAACAGATCTGCATGACCTTAAGTTTTAAAGCGCCCTACCAGTAAATATTAGCAGGGTTCGCTCCCCTCCTGAGTTCAGTGAGCCGCGTGCCAGAGGTCGTCGAGAAGATCCTAATGAGTGTTCCTTTGACGGACGCTGTCGCCAGCAGCGTTCCCGTCACGCTCAATGCTGCGGTCAGTAGAATGGTAGAGATGTGGCAAACATCAACATAAGAGTCGTGATAATTAATGAGGTCTGTCAGTATGAAGATCAGAGTCACATCAAGCATCAACATAGAGTCGTGATCGATAATGAGTATAGCATAGCAGTTAATGCATACATAGTAGTTAAGGAGCTATATCAAATATTAGGAAGTCACACTAATGATAATCATTGAATGTCTAAAGGAATCATTTTATAATATGTAAAAAAATGAAATAGAAAATGTGACTTGGGACCCTAACGAACAAATATTCAATAGTGGGACAATAATTTCCCATTTAATTAGTGGCTGACCAGTAATCAATTAATACTGAATTGAAGTGAATCAACAAATAAAATCATCTTAAAATGATACAGTAAAAAGATCTAGCAATTCCAAAACCAATAAAAAAAAATTCACCAATTCAGAGCAATTCATGAGGGTAGAAAACCACACAACAATTCCATGTTGAAGTACCTACCTATGAATGAATGTCAAATTGTCAATAATCTCCACTGAAGATCACACAATCTGAAAATGAATGTTTTTAAATCACTACATAGACTAACCCAGCGCAGCAATGCTGGTGGTGTGGGCAGGGAGAGGGGAGCGCTGTGGAGTGGGAGCGGCCAAGTCCACGAGCTGCACCTGCCCGGTGGTGGGCGCAGGGAATGCCAGCAGACTTGTACTGCTGTTGGGGCAAAGCACGCAGATGCCTGCAAGCAATATATATAAATTGATATTAATCAATGACATAACTAATTTTTCTTATTGAAAATCCAGGACAAAAGAATTAACCTCCTTTTGCTTTGAGCAAAGATATCTGTTAAAAAAAATTTTTTTTTGACAAATTATGTAGCTCTTTTAATGATGCTTTTCACATGATTCAAATGTTGGGACAAATTTCTCAGTGGCCTCAGGCCTGATGTTATGAATGATGAAAATAGAATTGAGAATTTCAAGTAATTATTCTAATCAATAGATAAATCAGCAATGCCAGAGCTGGTAAATATTAGTTAAATAAAAAATATTGTGGCAATCAGAGCCTTGACTTGTGTTGCTTTATCTAGCTTCATGGAGTGAGTTCTCATTCAAATTATAACTGCATTTTACATTAAAACACCAAAAAAAGTCCTCCCATTTAAATTTTGGTTATTAGTTTAGAATTCAATTTAATGATGAATAATAATTATAATATAATAATAATAATAATAATAATTATAATAATAGAAATAATTTCTACTGTATGTGGGTAATTAAATTTTCTTGCAATGTTAATAAGAAACCCACCTCTTGGGTTAGGAGCAGTTGGGAAGGTGTGGAGATGCTGAGGTGTACAGGTGAATGTGTAGACATGAATTGTGTCAAGCAGAAGCACCACTATCCGGTCACGCCTTAGTCGAACTCCAATTACTTTTTCTTGAAACTCCAGCTCAATCACAGCTTTTTTCTTTAGGTCATCCCAGACTATCACTGTAATGAAATTAAATAGACATCAGTTCTCAATGACTAAATGAAAAGGATATAGATTTCATTAATGAAATAATGAATTTGAAGTTGGCAAAATTTGGACACTGAGGAGTAGAAAGATTCTAAGAGGAGCATATAATGTTAAATATTATTGTAAGCTAGGTACTTTTGAACATAAATAATGCAAAATGTTTGTTGTAAAAAGATTATAGATAAACTGCTGGAAAGTTTGTTGAAAATTATAAATCACTACTGATAGATAGCAGTTTTCTTAAGCAGAGAATTTACATAAGAAAAATGCTTGCCTATCCAAGTTCAACAGTTTCACTTGCTTTTAATATAAAATTAATGTTAAAATAAGCTCTAATACACAACTCAGTTTGTAACCATGTACTTAAAACACTAAGATTCTAATAACCTTTTTGAGGAGGGAACTTGGGGTTGCGCCCACCGCCAACAAGAGCAAGGTAGTTGCAGCGGAAGAGCATTTCAACATGACCAATGCCTCCATCAGGGAAATCTTGTCTTTCTTTTTCTCTCAGAGGTTCACAGTTGAAAACACGGAAGCCATTTTCAGTTCCACACACAAAGCAGCCTGAAAATGAAAATGGCAACATCAGTTTGGCAATGGTACACTGACAAATCAAAATGCTTGGGATATCATTTAGTAGGAACATGAAAGCATGATCACCTTGGGTCATGATTTGGGACAAGTGACAACAAAGCCCATCTACATTAAGCAGGAGTTACAAATTTACTGTCATTGCCTCTCAACAAATGGAAAGCTTTGATAGAAATTTTGATACAAAAATTTTGAAGGTCAAAATATTTAGGTTTTCCTTCCAAAATATGAACAAGAATATCATTTTCTAACTCAGCATTGGCAACACTTGAACTCTTTCTAAAAAATTACTACAACTTAATTCTTGTAGGTACACAATGAGAAAAAATTACCTGTAAGTAGCAACATTTTAAATAACACCAAATCATTTAGAATCCATGAAATTTCAGATTTGACAAAAACAAGTTAGTATGGAGCTACCACACTAAAAAATATATAATACTTTCAGAGCCATCAAATATCAGTATAAATCAAAAGCCTTTATATCTGATTAAGCTTGAATACTTAGTATTTTATCAAAAAATTGTGAGTGAAATGATTATTGTATAGGTAGGTGATTTTCAAATCTCATAATGGATTATTTCAAACTGGAAAATTAAGCAGTCAGCTCGCCGCCTCACGGCCTCAGGCCCTCAGCGCTCAGCACTCAGCAGAAGCCCCCTAGTGACCTAGCTATGAAGGCTATGAACAGGATTAATCATTAATGCTTATCTTTGCAGACAGGCTACGGCTTCTGGCATTTCTAAGAACCTTGCTCAATAAATTTTGTAAAAATGATCAGGCAAAATTTGCCGAATTTTCCAATAAGCCAATCTGAGTTGCTATTACATGTGGCAGAAGTTCACATCACTTGCAAGGAAAACTGATACATTTTACATGAATTGTAAAGCAGAGTGAAGCATCAGAATCCCCCAGCCTCAAAAATATGCAAAATTCTCATTTTCATTCAATTCATTACCCATTCATGCATGGGCAACGAGCATGACTGATGGCTTCACCATAATTTTTTAGTTTGGACTTTGGTACTCCCTACTCCGTACTTTGGTTCATTCATGGAATGATCAACGATGAAAGTTGATAGATTTACATCATTTATAACAAACAGAAACAATTTCAGCCAACTGAGCCAAGTGTAACTCTATGTCTTGTTAATCAAAGAAAATATAAACCAAAATAAAGAATAACATACTATATATTATAAATTTTAAACAACAGTACCTACCTCGGGCTATAATACCTATTTATAAACTCAACCAATGCCAATTGATAATCATTCAATTTTTACATGAAAAAATCCTTCATGGATACAATTGAAGTATTATTTTATTCCCTTGAGAGGAAATGACCTTCACTTCAAAGATAGCTATAACAAATCTTAGTTTACAATTGGCTATCTTTGCGAGTTTACTTACCTTGGTCTTGATTGAACCCAGCATAAACAAGGCCATTACCATAAGGGTTTTTCTCGGCTAAATTCATTTTACAGTAATATAAACGATATTATTTCTAAATAAACCTACAACTGTCTTCAATAAGCTGTGTTTTAACTTCAACACAACCGATTACAAAGTCATCAAGCAACAAAACAATCTTATAAATCTTCAGATCATCACTGACATGTTTATTAGTTTCCCGTTCCGAGTCCGATATCCAACACAATCACATTCCGGTCCGGTCAATTCTAACCTGACTTCTAGGAGCTTACTGACGCTTTTTCGTCAGCTGTTCCAAAATTGACACGCGCGAGTCGCGAAAAGTTGTCATGTGTAATTTTTTACTTGGAAATTGAAATAGGTTCTACTACGTGACGATGTTTCGTACTCTTCTCTGCTTGAAAGGTAATGGTGCATGATCATTTAAGGTTACATGTCTTATGAGCTATGAATATAATATGATTATGACGTCGGTCTGATGATTGGTAAAGGCGTAAACTTGTACTACGTACCGTAGATTGTAGAAGAAGTACCTAGACGATAACTCTCAGTCTGTCAGTCACTGAGTCAGACTGTCAGAGTCTGTCTCTGTCTCATCTTTCATCGTTGTTTGTTAACGGCGTTACGGCACTCAAGTCTCAACTGACTTGAGTACTAGCCTGTAGCCACTGCATTAGGCACTTTATTTGCCAAGTGCCAACTATCATTATAAAATATAATAATGGTTGTTCAAGTACAAATATCTTTGCAGACAGTTTAAGTTTTCTTATCTTTGCAATTTTGCAAATACCTAGGAGGCTAGGTATCTTTGCAAAGATATCTGTCTAGTACACGCTAGTAGTAGTGTAGTACACACAACACGAATATCTTTGTAGACAGATCTACCTATATATAGGGCATTATAGGCTAGGAAGGCAAGCTAGTAGGTATAACCTAGTAGTACTTACTTACTGCAGTCTGCAATTTTGATAATGAGGATTTGATAAATATCTGTTCAACAGTTCAAGTCTTCTAGAATCTAGACTCTAGAGTAGGCCAACAATAAAATAAGCATAATTAGCATTGGTAAGACTAAGGCATGCCGCGGTGTGGCTGCTGTGGCATGCCTCATGCATAATGCCAGCCTTGCCAGGGGGCAGGGGCCCAGCCGCCCAGGCCCCAGGGCAGTAGGGTAAACGCGGTATATTCCGACACTTTAAGGCATAGTGGCAAAGCAGCAATTTTTTTAGACTCTTCTTCAAGTTTATTTTTGAGTCCTATAAGTAGACTAGAAAGTATCTTGGATACCAGCATTTTCATACATAAGGAAATGATTAAAATATGGAGTAGATGAGGAAATTGAAAATGAACTGGTTCTAAAAAATCTCTGGTTTGCCACTATGCTTTAAGGACGCATCGAGAAATGAAAAACTATAAAAAAAAAACGTATGCATTACCATAACAGCATAAGGGTTTTTCTCGGCTAAATTCATTTTACGGTAATATAAACGATATTATTTCTAAATAAACCGACAACTGTCTTCAATAAGCTGTGTTTTACCTTTAACACAACCGATTACAAAGTCATCAAGCTGCAAGCAACAAAACAATCTTATAAATCTTCAGATCATCACTGACATGTTTATTCGTTTCCCGTTCCGAGTCCGATATCCAACACATTCCGGTCCGGTCTAACCTGACTTCTAGCCTTCTAGGAGCTTACTGAATACTGACGCTTTTTCGTCAGCTGTTCCAAAATTGACACGCGCGAGTCGCGAAAAGTTGTCATGTGTAATTTTTAACTTGGAAATTGAAATAGGTTCTACTTCGTGACGATGTTTCGTACTCTTCTCTGCTTGAAAGGTAATGGTGCATGATCATTTAAGGTTACATGTCTTATGAGCTATGAATATAATATGACGTCGGTCTGATGATTGGTAAATACCGTAAAGGCGTAAACTTGTACTACGTACCGTAGAAGAAGTAGGCTAGACGATAACTCCCAGTCAGACTGTCAGAGTCTGTCTCATCTTTCATCGTTGTTTGTTGGATTGGGTTACTACAGTAGCTACTGATGGGGGGGGGGTCATCATCTAGCTTCCATTCGGACTGGAATGTCTCCTGTCCCATGGGTTGCTTGCCGTTCTCGTCGTGCTACAGTGGTTTTAACCCGTTTTCGTCTTGGCCATGTTGGGGTTCGTTCTTATCTTCATCGATTTGGCATGGCTGACACTCCCATGTGCCTGCACTGTGGGGTTGAACTTCAACAAATTTCTTAAGTATTATAATGCTGGTATCCAGGATACTTTACTGGTCTACTTATAGGACCCAAAAATGAACTTGAGGGAGAGTCTAAAAAACTCTCTGCTTTGCCACTATGCCTGGGAGTCCCTCTCATATCTGTGCGTGTGCTCCTTGGTGGAGGAAATTATCCCAGAAGAGTTCAACACCACATAGTGAGAGCAACCACCACGGCACCACATATCTCATGCAAACTGGTTGATTATCTACCATGTAGCTGGTGAAATGCACTGGATTAAACTGTGATTTGCCCTAAGCAAGAGAATTGTTGATAACAAAGAGAGCTCATGCCAGCAAAGAAGGAAATGAAATTGAGAGAAACATGATGAAGACTTCAACTAAATAACTATTGCTGAGTCCAGGTGTCACAAGCGGTCAACGTGCGACTTCTTCTTCACCTACAACCCGCGACCACCACCACCATCGTTGTTTGTTAACGGCGTTACGGCACTCAAGTCTCAACTGACTTGAGTACTAGCGGCTAGCTTGTACTGTAGCTACTGGCCTACTGCATTAAGCACTTTATTTGCCAAGTGCCAGCTATCATTATAAAATATAATAATGGTTGTTCAAGTAGGCTACAAATATCTTTGCAGAGTTTTCTTATCTTTGCAATTTTGCAAATACCTAGGTATCTTTGCAAAGATATCTGCCTAGTGCCTAGGCTAGTAGTACTTACAAATATCTTTGCAGACAGATCTACCTATAACTTAAGCTATAACCTAGTAGTACTTACTGCAGTCTGCAATTTTGATAATGAGAATTTGATAAATATCTGTTCAACAGTTCAAGTCTTCTAGAATGATAGAATCTAGACTCTAGAGTAGGCTAACAATAAAATAAGCACAATTGGCATTGGTAAGACTAAGGCATGCTGAGGTGTGGCATGCCTCATAGCCTCATAGGCTCATGCATATTGCATAATGTCATCCTTGCCAGGGGCCCAGCTGCCCAGGCCCCAGGCGGCAGGGCAGTAGTGAGTAATGACCACTGAATCACTGACCAGCCATTTAGCAGCCAAAGCAACAATTTAGTGCACTGGAAATTTCTTGCTAACTGAAATCACGCAGCTTGCAAAGCCTCTCATCATTTCATGTGATATACCTACTGTATTTTTAATAAATTTCAAAATAATTGGAATCTTGTAGCCTGATGGTACACTTTTGTTAACAAATTATCAAAAAAAAAAAATAGCAGCTAGGTAGGATTAATTTAGTGTCAGTGACATGATTATGACGCAAAGGCCACCCACTCACCCTTTACCAATCACTAGCTACTTTACCACTAGATTAGAATTTCCTAACTTATGAATTAAATCTTGCAGCTCCGAAGTGACCTAGTATATTTTATACATTTGTAATCTTTTGATTCAGGCCTGCAGTGTTATTAACAGTTAGGTAAGAGATAATTCATCTAGAATTCTAGATTGTAGCAGGAATAGCAAATAGGAAAGCTGGCTAGCTGGAAATCTTGTGGCTCCAAAAATGACCCCAGCTTCACTTGACTTACAGCACTCACCACTATAAAAACCTTTAAAGCTGAAATATATTGAGAAACAAAATGTTCCATGTTCCCAAACTGAAAATATTTTAAGTATGAATTTACCTAATTAGTTGCTTTTTAAAGATTGGGTAAATAGTCGTCTTCAAGATTAATGCCAATTTTTACTCTGCAAGTCTTTTTTACAACTTAATATTTGATTAATAGGTGTGATCAGAAATACTTTAAATAGGTACCACGATTAAGAGAAAGTCTAATTTCCACTTTTTATGCAGGCTTTGTGAGGCCACTCTCAGGAACAATGTCCTCTGTTAAGCATTTTTCATCAAGACCTTCTCTAGCTCAAGCTAATTTGCTACTGAGCAAAACATCAAGTATATCATCTCCCTCAGTAAGTGTTGTTTCACAAGCCGCTAGAATATTAAATGGAATGCATGAAGACTATAATTTCAATTCATGTTCTTTAGTTGCTATTCTTCCCTCAATGGGTAACTTATCAAAACCATTTTATTCTGTCTGTAAATTGTTGAGAGTAGATACATATAGTAGTACCTATTATCTCATGATTCACAATGTTTAATTTTACTATACTTTGTTATTTATTCCCAAATTCTCTGTTTTCAGTAGTGTATTGTATATACCTATACCTATTGTTTTTTTTATGGCAATGGTTTGTACAAATGTTCTTTAATTGTATAGTTGGCTATTACAAAGTTCTATTTTCCACTGTGGTTAAAGCATTTAATTTCTACTTAATACCTGACATAGTATTTCCATGCCTTACAGCGCACTGATGAAGAACATGCTGACATCAGAGTGACGCCCTCTCCATGCCTGATGGATGAAGCTGTTAGTGTCGTTATTTCAGGACTAGACTCCAACGAAGTGTACACTCTTCACTCCTCTATTACTGACTGCAAAGGTGTGCCTTTTGCTGCTGTTGCCCACTATAGGTATGTACAATCTAATTCTCCTGTTAATGCAACAGTTAGATCTTTATTGTGGATAAGTTGCTCAGATTTACTCTATTGTCATTTCAATCTATTCTACCTAATGAGAATTGCATATTATGAGGGATGCACTCATTTGGCACCCCACTATCCTGTAATTAGAATATTTCCTCCTGATTCCTACCATCAGTAATGTTGAACACCACTTATGAATGTTCTACTAATATTATTAGTGAATTTTAACAATTGGATATGGTCATTGAGCATTATAAAACTGTGGGTCCACTGAATGCATTTTAAGAAGCATGTATGTATCAGTTGCAGTAGAGATTATTTTAGACTACATGGACTTGATAATCACTTTGGTCTCATATGTTTTCTTTGGTTCAGGTCTAACAACAGTGGTGTAATAGATCTGAAGAACACTCCTGCTTTAGGAGGACACTATACGGGGGTGTTCCCTATGGCACCTTTTGTGTGCATCCTTCCCATGTCTACAAAACTCAAAGATCCCAGGATGTCTATGCATGACATCACTTCACCTCTTAAGGTAATTCATTGATTGAGGAATACGGTACATTTTGTGCATTAGTACCCATCTTCTTTAATATCTTAGTGACTTTTGATAACTTGAATAAATTCTCAGTACACTATCAAAAGAAATTCTTCTATCTATTAATAATCACAGAATATTTGATTCTGTTAAATTTTCTCATTTGCAGTATAATCTTTCCGTGTTTGAAGGCGCCTATGGTTATCACTTGTTGGTGAAAGGAGCTGAATTTCTTGGATTGGAGCCTGTGTGTGAAACAGTCCATGAGCGCAGGCTCATGGGCGATGGCTGCCAGAGAATCCCAGTGAGGCATGGTCGAGTGCGTGGGGCACTGCATTTACCCCCAGGTTTGTTTTAATTAAAATTATTTCTTTATTTTTAGATGATGAAGAGCATTCATATAGAAACTGGTTAGTTTTATGCTTTAAAAATTTCATTAGAACACGACTGGTGGCAAATACTAGGTCAAGTAAATTGTAATTTAAATAAAATTAAATAAAAACTTTGATAAACAAAAATCTGGTCGTTTAAACTGTACTTTACATGCCTTATTGATGCGTAATGTCATATTATCATCACTTCAATGGAACTTTGCTCTCAGGTGATGGCCCCTTCCCCGGTGTAGTGGACATGTTCGGCAGCGCCGGGGGTCTCATGGAGCACCGAGCGTCGCTCCTCGCAGCCCGCGGAGTTGCCACGCTCGCTCTCGCCTTCTTCGACTACGACGACCTCCCCCAAACATTAGACTCGCTCGACCTCGAATACTTCATCGAAGCTGTAGACTATCTTTACTCGCATGACAAGGTAGCTCTTAAACTGAGGTGCGATTATAGATTATACTGAAAAAGTGTAATGCTCGTAGTAGTAGGTTTTCTAGCGCTTCAGAAAATCATGGTCTATTTCGCGCCTAAGGTCCAATGGCAAGGTACGTAGCGGTAGCTCTTAAACTGAGACGCGATATTGTAGATTATACTGAAAAAGTGTGATGCTCCTAGTAGTAGGTTTTCTAGCGCTTTAGAAAACTATGATGTATTTCGCGCCTATAAAGGTGAGGTCCAACTGTGAAAACATGCTTTTAGTTAGATGAATTTATGTTCACATATTGATGGTATCTATGTGTTAGTTTCTAGAACTATGATTTTGTTTTATGTTATCATATTGTCATCTGAGCCTGCATCGTATCATCTTGCAGGTTTCGAAAGAGGGCGTTGGCGTTATCGGCACCAGCAAAGGAGGCGACATAGCTCTGGACTTGGCGATGGTTTCTCCTAAAGTGAAAGTTATTGTTCCCATCAATGGCAGCTGCTACAGCATCCAAGCCTCCATGAACCTTGGAGGGAAGCCTATTCGGCCGCCGCTTCCTTTCACCATCGAGGAAGGGCAGGTTAGTAGTTTTCAATAATATAAAACTTTTATTTACTTACTCCGCAGTTTAAGATATTGCCCTGCTTGAGACTTGAGTGGTTTTCTGCCATGGCAAAAGGTCATCCACTTCTTGTATTTAAATGTAGTGTGTTGATGTTTTCAATTGAATTATTGTAGAATAAAACTACAGATGTTCAGGATGTTTAGGAAAATTGATGAATATCTTCATTAAATTCTAGTGATGAGTAGTGAATAACTGAGGTCATGGCCACATTCCTCCCGATTAATGTGTTTTTAAGCATTGATTGTACGTTAATTATTTTACAGGCTTCTTTATAATTTTCGTTTGAAAAGCAATGCTCTCATTAATGTTGAAATGCTTTTTGGCTTGATTTTGTTCACAGAAAATAATGATATTTTTTTCCATAGAACAATATTTTTTTGTGCTAGATTCAACGTGACCTCCGTTTGAATCTATCACGCATCTTTGACGGCAAAAATTGTCCTGAAAGTATTGTCCCGGTGGAGAAAGTTCCTTGTCACATGCTGTGGATTGTCAGCGAGGACGATCAGAACTGGACCAGTGAAAAGTTTGCCGATATTGCTTACCAACGCTACGCCCAGCACAACCCTCATACCCTGGAGAAATTCCAGGTAAGTGTGGCACCTTTCCTTCTGATTTTGTCAACATTGATTCAACGTCAGATGTCAGACTGAAATTAACTGTCATTCATTTGGTATGATATATTTTTATCTCGTTATCTAACGGGGATTTTTTTAGTTCATAATAAAAGATGGGTTTTTGCTATAGGCTGCAATGGCTAAGAGTAAATAACAAAAATTTATAGAAGTGCTTTTCTAATGTTGATCTCTTCATTTTAGATTATCGTCATAATTTTCTTAAACTTTTTCATGTAGCATTTTATAATTTACCACCAAGATGAGATACTCTTCAAAGCCTTCTGGCCTATTTCATGTCATCTGAAATCAATCATTTAAAGGAATATATTATTCTTGTTGGTGTGGCTTAATCTTTCTACCGTAAAAATGTTCAGTTACGCTAGTCACGTGAAATACGTAGACATCAATGCAGCTCATTACACACCTGATCTGTGGTAATGAGCTACACACCTGAGCTGTGGTAATGAGCTACACACCTGAGCTGTGGTAATGAGCTACACACCTGAGCTGTGGTAATGAGCTACACACCTGAGCTGTAGTAATGTGTATTTCTCACGTCGAAGCACGTGTGTCGAGGTCGGACCGTTCGCCATGGCGTCTGCTTCATTCGCGTCTCGCTGGTAAATTTAAAATATTTCAAGGCAATTAATTATTGCCATGGTGTCCATGGGATTCAATGTTGGTGTGGCAAATTATAATTTGTCACTTGATGTTGCAGGTGTTGAAGTACCCTGGTGCAGGCCACCTGGTAGAGCCGCCCTACGTGCCGTTCTGCGAGATGTCGTACCACCGCGTGGTGACCTCCAGCATGATTTGGGGGGGCAACGCTCTCGACCACACCCACGCCCAAGTCCACTCCTGGGACGCTATGTTAAAGCTCTTCAGGGACAAACTCATGCCGTCCCCCAGCAAACTATGAACGTCCCACTCCTGGGACGCTATGTTGAAGCTCTTCAGGGACAAGCTCATGCCGTCCCCCAGCAAACTATGAACGTCCCACTTCTGGGACGCTATGTTGAAGCTCTTCAGGGACAAGCTCATGCCGTCCCCCAGCAAACTATGAACGTC